AGCCCGGCCCGCGCCCCGCGCCCCGCGCCCCGCGCCCGCGCCTCCCTCGGCCGCCGCCGCCCGCCCGCCCCCAGGCGTGGCCTAGTAAGCCCCGCCCCGCGACGACGCTGCGAGGGCGGGCTCTGAGTCGGCACCGCCCACCGTTGGACCATCTAGACAGCCGCTTCACCAATCTCGTGCTCTGATTGGCTGAGCCGGAGAAGCCCCCCCCCACCTTTTTATAATCCTGCTCTTTCACTCCACCATCGCCCACCCTCCCCCCCCCCCCCCCCCCCGCCACCTGCAATTAATTTGCATAATTTAAAGAGACAGGCACCGCTCCTGTCACCTGAGACCTACAGGGAAGGGGTCAACCAGCATTCACTGTGTGCCTACTGTGTCCCAGTCACTGAGGAAGGCTCACTGGGTCTTCCCCCCCATCCTCCAGCGACGGGCTATGGGGGGACGATATTGATCTCAGGAAGAGCGAAGCTCAGAGGGGTAAGACCCTACTTTGGGGTCACACAGCAGGCTTGCTGTCCCATGGACACAGACATGGTGTCGTTGCTGCAGACGGCTCCGCTGGGCTGGGGCTGTATCATTGAGCTCCACCCGACTCTACATGGCAGTTTTGAGGGACCCCCCTCCCAGGTGCTCATTAAATGACTTAGCCTACCGGTCCACCTGGACAGCTGCCTTCCTCCTGCCTCCGCAGGCCAGCGGGGCCTTGTTACCCATGACAACTGCACACTTCGGTGTTTTAGACCAGCTTCAGCTTTAAAATCACTGAGGATCCCTAGGAGAGAGGGCTATGTGAGGGAGAAGGCATACCAGGGTTTGAACTCGGGGCCTTGTGCTTGGTAAGCTCTACCACTAAGCTGGACCCCAGCCCTTTGTGCTGTGTTTTGCTTTTAACTAGAGTCCAACCGTTGGCTCAGGCCAAGAAAAATCCTATTTAACTGGGATAACAGACCTGATTCACCACACCTTACTTGCTGGTTGGGCTAGGGTCTCTTTAGCTTTTTACCCAGGCCAACCTGAGATCTGTTCCTCCCAACTTCCTCTTTGCTAGTTGTGGAGAAATCCTCTGTGTGGCTCATTTGCCAATGTTACTGAGCCACCATTGAGACCTTACCACCAAGAGAAGCCTACGCTTTATTCACACACCCCCACCCCCATGTTTCTCCTCTGTCCTAGGGCCTCGCAGGAGGCAGCCTCCACCTCGGGCTTCTCCTTGCTGCAAGGACAGCACTGAGTCCTGTCGCTTCTAGGGCCCGGGTCCTGGTGGAGAAGATGCTGGGATGCCTCAGTTAAACCAAAGCTGGCTGGGGCCCAGGCCTCAGGAGGCTGCAGCAAGACCCAGAGCCAGTCCCTGCTCACACACAGGCACTGCCTCAGAAAGAACAGAAACACAGATCAGGTGGCTCATACCTGTAATCCCAGTTACTCAGGAGGCTAAGCACTGAGGATCTCAGTTTGAAGGTGGCCTGGGCAGGAAAGCCCTTGAGAATGTTGAATTACCAAAATCTTGGAAACTGAGTTGTGGCTCAAGTTGTGGAGAGCCAGCACCAAAACTCAGGGACAGCGCCCAGGCCCTGAGTTCAAGCCCCAGGGCCAACACATGCACACACACAGAAAATATGAAGACATTACACTATTTGCACACACATCAAAACATAACCTGGCACATATGAATAAGTTTAAAAGCAGGCTGAAAATCCCCAGTCACTGGCTGGCACTGGTAGTGGGGACCACAGGCCATTTGCAGCCCTGCATGGAGGTGTGGAGGCAGGGTCGGTGTGAGCCGAGTCCCAGGTGCTGCTCCTGACCTCAGATCTGCTCAAGGAGGGCTGCCCACCTGCCGTCACCAGAGTGGACGCAGGAGTGCTGACTCCAGGGCGCGGTGTGTCTCTTATACTCATGCTGGTCCCGCTCCTCCCCTCGGCCAGCCTTGTCTGGGAACCGGGGGATAGGCAGGGAGCTATGGAGAAAGCAGAGCAGAGCACGCAGACCCAAACAGCTCTCCGACAGAGCCAGGGCAATCCCAGCTCATGGCCTTGATCGGGGCAGGTCAAACCCCACTCCTGGCTTTTTTTTTTTTTTTCTTTCGGTCGTGGGGCTTGAACTCTGGGCCTGGGCGCTGTCCCTCAGCTCTACCACTTGAGCCACAGCACCACTTCTGGTTTTCTGGTGGTTTACTGGAGATTAGAGTCTCACAGACTTTGCTGCCCAGGCTGGCTTTGAACCGCAATCTTCAGATCTCAGCCTCCTGAGTCGCTGGGATGCCAAGCGTGAGCTACCGGTGCCCGGCCCACTCATGGCTTCTTGAATGTAATTTTAACAGGGTCTGTGTAGTCCAGGGTGGCCTGGGAATCGGGAATCCCTCTGCCTCTGGCAGTGTCTGGAGTACAGCACATTAGAGAGCAGCGCCAGGCTGCTGGCGTGTGTGTGTGTGCAGTGTGCAGGATTCTTTCTGTATTCTGTAGTGCTGTTCACTATGGAACTAGAGCATTTCTTCTTGCCAGTCCTGGGGTTTGAACTCTGGGCCTGGGTGCTGTCCCTCAGCTCTTCAGCTCAAGGCTAGCACTCTACCACTGGAGCCACAGCGACACTTCTGGCTTTTTCTGTGTATGTGGTGCTGAGAAATCGAACCCAGGGCCTCATGCATGCAAGGCAAGCACTCTACCACTGAGCCACCTTCCTAGCTCCTAGAGCATTTTGTTTTGTGCAGTTATAGCTCCCTCCACTGGGATGAGACATTTTCTATTGTTGAGTTACCTATTCTTTTTGTTTATAGCGTCTTTTTTTTTTTTTTTGGGGTCCGGCCATGGGACCTGAACTTCTGGGCCTGGGCGCTGTCCCTCAGCTCTTCAGCTCAAGGCTAGCGCTCTACCACTTGAGCCACAGCACCACTCTCAGCTTTTTTATTTTTGCTCATGTGGTGCTGAGGAATCGAACCCAGGGCCTCAGGCATGCAAGGCAAGCGCTCTACCACTGAGCCACCTTCCCAGCCCCAATACCGTCTTCTTCTAAGCCCAAGGTTTGCAGGACTAAGTTATTTGATGGTGTCCTAGAGGTTTTGTGAATTCCGTTAGTGTTTTTCAGTGTCACCGTGAGGCTGCATCTCTGCTGTATCTATCTGCAGCCTCCAATGCACTTTCAGTTGCTCCTTTTCTTTTTTTGTCGGTCGTGAGGCTTGAACTCTGGGCCTGGGTACTGTCCCTGAGCTCTTCAGCTAAAGACTAAGCACTCTACCACTTGAGCTACAGTGCCACTTCTAGTTTTCCTGGTGGTTTATTGGAGATGAGTTTCATGGACTTTCCTGCCCGGGCTGGCTTTAAACTGAGATCCTTAGATCTCAGCCTCCTGAATAGCTAGGATTACAGGCGTGAGCCACAGGTGCATGGCTTTAGTTGCTCCTGTTCTATGATGTAGGCTTTCCAGAGGTTTGAATTTGGGCCACTGAGCTCTTCATTTCTGCAATTTCAATTCGATCTTCTTTCAGTAGTCCTATCTTTATTCCTATTTCCCATCCTGCACTGCCTTATTTCCTTTGCGTGTTTTGCATGTGTTTACCAGTTGAACTCAGGGCCTGTGCTGTCCCTGAGCTATCTTGCTGTAACTCAGGCTGGCCTTGGAACTTCTATGCTTTTCTACCTCTTCTGGTTCCCCCCCCCCCCCATGTTTGGGCAATCTTATGAAGCTTTATCTTGTAACGCACCAGTTTTCCGTCCAGCTTTCCCAAGTCCCTTGTTAAACCTATCCCGTGTTTAAATCTCAGCCCTTAGTTTTCCTTTGGGTTGTTTTGAGACAAGATCATGGTAAATATCCCAGGATGGCCTCAAATGTGAGCTTCTCCTGTCGCAGCTGGTCCCGGACACTGCAGCGGCTGCAGGTTTGCCCACCATACCCAGCCTGCCCCATCCTGCCTCGCTCTCACCTTAAGTGACTGGAAGTGACAAGGGTGCTGGGGACTGCTTGAAGGCTCTTGCAGTGGCCTGTGGCACAATGGGAAAGTGATATAACTGTGGGCATGGCTATGAGGAAAGTGCAGGCCCTGGTAGTCCTGGGGCTTGAAATCAGGGCCTGGATGCTGTCCAAGATTTTTTTTTTGTCGGTCATGTGGCTTGAACTCTGGGCCTGGGCGCTGTTCCTGTAGCTCTTCAGCTCAAGGCGAGCGCTCTACTGCTTGAGCCACAGCACCACTTCCCTGTCCAAGATTTTGACCACTTGAACCACAGCTCCACTTCCAGCTTTTAGTAGTTTCTTGGAGTCTCACACTTTCTTGTCTAGGCTGGCTTTGAACTCCAATCCTCAGAGCTCAACTGAGTAGCGAGGATTATAGGTATGAGCCACTGGTGCCCAGCTTTTTCATGCTTCCTTGGCCAAATGTCCTGTCTCACCCCAGGCCCAAAGCCACGAGGCCAGCTGAGCTCCCAACGCAGGCCAGGTTGACCCATGAAAACACCCACACCCTAAGTATGTCCTCACATTGACAGAAATCTGATCCACCACTGAAGGATGCATGGTTCGTGCAGCTGCGGGCTAGAACCATTCATGTGCAGATACAAAGTCCGGCCGTCACAGCCCAGCCATGGAGCCCAGCTGTCACAGCCCAGAGGTGGCAGAGCCTGGCCACCATGGTGCAGACCCCAGGTGCCACACTTCACTGTCTAGACTGTTCCCTTGGGGGCTCCAGGCTTTCCCACCACATCCCTGCCCTGCGCTGGGACAGATGATCTCCCCCTAGCAAGGCAGATGCGCTCAGAGGACAGGGCGGGAGGACTGTCCCAGCTGCAGTTGGACCTGACACTGGCGACATTTCTTACTAGGCCCTCACCCTGGGAATCCCCAAGGGGGAATCTGCCCATGAAAGGCACAGAGAATTTATCAGTTTTTTTCTTTCACCAATCAAAGGCTGGATGGCGAACTTTCCCAGAGCACGGGCAGCCTGGGCTCCATTCTAGCACTTGGGGGACAGGGAATGACAGACCCCAAAGAAAAACAAGGACTTAAAGACCAACAGTGTAAAGCATTTACAGAAAATCTGTCCACAAACTAGGTTGGAAAAGCACTGAGCGCCTCTTGCTTAAAGAGGATTTGGGGCCAGGCACTGGTGGCTCACACTTGTGACTGAAGCTACTAAGGAAGTTGAGGTTCAAAGCCGGGCTGGACAGAAAAGTCCTTTAGATTCTCATCTCCAACCACGCAGGCGCAGAGGCCCTGACGGAGGACGCTCTGCCCGGGCCTCGGTCTGGGCTCTGGGACCCTGGGCTCCCAGACAGGCCGGGCCGCGAGGCAGCGGCCGCCACCCAGCCCGCACCTGCTCCACACCGCGCAGAGATCCACGGAGGACGCGGGACACAGGGCGGGCCTGTTTATTTTGCGGCTCTGGGGCGGCCGCTAGAACTCCACCTTGCAGGCGGGGAAGGCCTCGTCCTGCATCGACACCATGCTGTTGCTGCCCAGCACCGTGACGCCCAGCGCCTGGTGCCGGACGTGCGTCTCCTCATACCACCGGTGCATGGTGGCGGAGTCGAAGGTGGGGATCAGGGTCACCTGTGGAGACAGCGGGCTGCGGTGGGCAGCGGCCCCGGCAGGGCCGGCAGGGCGGGGGCTCCCCCCTCCTCCGCCCCGGGCCCCGCCCCCTGCCCCGCCCCCAGCGCACCTGCAGGTCGCGGTCCCAGAGCTGCTTGCCGGCCAGCAGCGCGTCCAGCACGGCGCGCAGCCCCTCCTCGCGCCGCCGGTCCTGGCCGCTGATGACGTAGCAGAGCGCGCGCACGCGCAAGAAGAACTCCGCGTCTGCCTGGCACGCGCCCGCACCGCCCGGCAGGTAGGCCAGGTCCAGGTACACCGGGGTGGGCGCGGGCCGCGGGGCACCTGCGGGAGGGAGGCGCGGGTCAGACCCAGTGGGCCTGGGCCTGGCTGGGCCGTGGGGGGATCCCAATCCACCCCCCCCCAGGCTCGCTGCCACCCCTGGGACGTGGTCGTCAGGGGTGTGGCCAGTGGAGGGCGTGGCCGCCAGGGGTGTGGCTAGTGGAGGGCGTGGCCGCCAGGGGTGTGGCCAGTGGAGGGCGTGGTCAACGGAGGGCGTGGCGTCCCGTTCCTCCCCCACACACCCGTTCCAGCTGTCAGCGGGCTGTGGTCCCGCAGGAATCGGGCTGATGGAGGCTGGGCAGAACCGAGCGAGGACCCCAGCACCACCTCAGCCCCCGCCCAGCCCATCCGAGACCGATGACCCTGCCCACCTGCCGGCGGGGCCGGGCCGGGCGTGCACCGTCCTGCGCGCCCCGCACCGTGCGCGAACTCAGCTTGACCCCTGCCGGCCACCCCGGCGCGGGGCTGCACAGAGCACCGGCCCCGCTCCCTTCAGGAGCCCTGGCCACGCATGGGACCCCAGCCCCGAGCCGAAGGCCAGCCCAGGCAGGAAGTCCGCCAGGCCCGGACGGACCGATAGCCGGAGGCGGGCCGTGTCGCCTCGCGCCCACAGCCCACGAGGGAACCAACGCTGGCCCAGCCAGCCGGTAACGCCAGGCTCGAGGCCTGGCTCCAGTGCGAGCACCCTCGGCCGCAGAAGCAGAGGGCGCAGGGCCAGGACCTGCAGCCAAAGAACGCTCTAGAGCAGGGACGTCTAAGGCCACATGGAGACACACGAAGTATGCACAGACCTGCGTGTACTGGAGAGATGAACGTGTAGAGGTGGCCAGAAAGGGGGGGGGTGAGGGCAGGGGGGTGGGGGTGGAGGGGTGGGGGTCAGGGCAGAGGAGGGATGAAGGCGGAGGGAGGTTCAGCACACAGACTCCTCCAGCAGAGAAAAGCCCTGGAGGTGAGGTTCTTGAGGTCGAGCTCAGGGCCTGGACTCTCACCAAGCCTCCAGCTCAAGGCTGGTGCTGTGCACCTGAGACATGCCTCTGGTGGGCGTTTTTGCTGCTTAGAGAGGGAGCCCCAGGGCCTTTCTGCCCGAGCTAATCCTCCACTTCCTGCCTCCTAGGTATGGGCGCGCGAAGGTCCGGTTGGAGGCTCGGCTCCAGAGCCGGGCCTGGCAGTTGGCACCTGCATCCCAGCGCCCGGTACACCCGGGAGGGAGGGGCTCAGGGCGGGCGCAGGCCGCGCCAGCGTGCGTCCCCCTGAAGAACACCCAGAGCCCGGGGCTGTGGACTTGGCTCCCGTTGGGAGCTCACTCGCCCAGCCCGCCCGTACTCACCCGCCGGGCCCCTGGAGGCTGTCTTCGGGGCGGAGGGCTTCCTGCTCAGGGGCGCGCGCGCAGCTCTGTCGCCAGGCTCGCCGCGAGCGCTGGGCGGCCGGCTGGCGCGGTCGGCCCCGGTGGGCGCCTTGGCTCTGGGGCCGGCGGAGGGGGTGGCCCTGGGAGCGGCGGGGGCGGTGGAGGGCCGCGCCTGGCCCCGGCGGGCGCGGGGCTGCGCGGGCTGCGCGGGGTCAGCCATGCAGGTGCCCGCGGGGCCGGCCAGCGGCAGTGGCACGCGCGGCGGCTCCGGCGGCGGGTCGCGGCCCAGGCCTGCGCAGCCGCGGGTGTCGTCGTCCGAGTCGGGCCCGGGCGCGGCGGGCGGCGGGTCGGAGTCGGACAGCGTGGGCAGCGACTCGCTGACCGAGGTGGGCGGCGTCTCCCCGGGGCCCGCGCGCTCCTGGGAGCGGCTGCTGCCATCCGAGCTGCCCGGGGAGGCGGGCGCGGCGGCTGGCGCGGCCCTGCGGTGCTCGAACTCGCAGGGCGACACCAGGCACAGGTCCACATCGTGCGGAGACGCAGAGCGGCGGGCGCGGGGCCGCAGCGTGAGGCCCGGGCCCGCGTCACCCGGCGGCAGCGCCTGTTCGAAAGAGGCGGACAGGGACTCGTCCACCTCGGTGGAGTGCGGGGAGCCCACCTCGGCGGGCAGCGAGGGCGTGGTGCCCGTGGGCGAGGCGTCCCCGCCGCGCAGGGGGCTCAGGGACAGGCGGCCGCCGGGCGGCGAGCGCGGGCGCTCGGGGCCGGGGGCCGGGACTCGCTCCGGGGTCGGCGCCTCTGCGCAGCCCTCGGGGCCGGAGTGCGGCGGCGGCGGGGTCGAGGTGGGGGAGGCACTGCGGGCGCCGGGCAGCCCGGGCTCCTGGTGCGCCGGGCCTGGGGGGCTGAGGGGCCCGTTCTGCACAGGCCGGGGCGGGGGCGCGCCTGACGCCCGGAGGGGTCTGGGGGCCGCGGCCGCCCTCTTGGGGCCGGGCGGGCCGGCGGGGGCGCGGGGCTGGCTGCGGGGCGTGCTCGGCCTGGGGTCCTTCTTCGCCTCCCGGAGCAGCCTGGCATCCTTCTCGGTCCGGCGGGGGGCCTCGGCCCGGGCGGGCTCCTTCCGCGGGGGCGCGGGGCGCTCAGGGCCTGGCCTGGCGGGTGCGGGGCCCGCAGGGCGCAGCTTGTCGCGCGAGCCCAGGCTCTCCCTGCTGTCGGCCCGCGCCGGGGCCTCCAGGTCCCGCGGCGTGACCACCGGCTCCCGCAGGAAGGCCAGGTGCTGCAGGCCCAGCAGGCCGTCCAGGAGGCGAGCGGGCGGCGTGCGGCCTGGGAACAGCACCCGCACCACCTTCTCGGTGGGGCCGGCGGGGAGCCACACGAGCAGGGCGCACACGGAGCCCGCGCCGTCCGCGTCGCCCGCCTCGGGCGGGTGCAGCACGTACAGGTCCAGGCGGCCCACGCCCATCTTGCGGAAGAGCACGGTGGGCTTGGCGGGCTGTGGCCCGCGGCGCAGCGGCAGCGGCGCAATGCCCAGCTGGGCCAGCAGCCCGAGCGCCAGCGCCGCCTCGTCCTGGCCGCGCTTCAGCCGCGACGCCGCCTCCCGGGCGTTGAGGAAGACGACGCCCAGCGCGGGCGACACCAGGCGGCGCAGCCGGTCCCGCCAGGCGGCCCCCGGCTCCCCGGGCTCCGCGGGCTCCCCGGGCTCGGCGCCCGCCGCCTCCCCGCGCTCCGCCACCTTGCGCCGCAGCAGGCTGTTGAGCCCCGGGAGGCTGTCGGCACCCGCGTGCGTCACCAGCACGGCGTCCACTCGGTCCAGGTGCCTCACCAGCTTCCAGAAGCTGGACTTGGGGTTCGAGCCGCCGTTGACCAGCACGGTGAAGCCGTTGACGGCGAAGAAGGCGGCGTCCCCAAGCCCCCCAGGGAAGACATAGCAGCAGGGCGCCGTGAGCCGCAGGAAGCCCCCGAAGGACGGGGGCTCCAGCAGGTCGAAGGGGGACGGCGGCTCCAGGGACTCGGCCAGGTACTCCAGGAACTCGCGCAGGCCCTCGGATGCCGGCAGCCGCGCCGGCGGGTTCAGCCGGAGCCGCAGGCCCGGCAGCTCCGGTGCCAGCTGTGCCCAGTCCCCGAAGGTGGGGCAGGTAATGGTGAGGGAGGGCGCGCCTGAGGTCGTGGGGGAGGCCGCCAGGGCATCCAGGACCTGCAGATCGGCGAGTGGGCAGCACCCTGACCAGACCTGGCCATGAAGTCCTTGGACAAGCCACTGCCGAGGTTCCCACCTCCTCCTCTGTCCCCCAGTGCCCCAGGACCCTGGGCTTGGGGCTCACCTCCCTCCACCCCTGTGAGCTCCCACAGGGGACAAGGCCGGTGCCTCCACCGCTGCCCACACCCAGACCCAGTGACGTCGGAAGGACCTGCCTCCCATCCCGCTGCCAGACATGAGGTACCAGGACTCACTGGAGGAGGGCAGCAAGACACCAGCTTACCTCTCTGTCCCCCAGGACCTGGAGAAAGTGATGGGGGGAAAAGCCCCCCGTCTGAAGCAGCAGGTCCCCGGTGTCCTCCAGGCAGGGTCCGGCCAGCACCAGCAGCTTGTGAGGAGCCGGGTCCAGCAGGAGGTTCCGGAGCTGGGGACAGCAGAGTCCTCTGCTACAAGGCGCCAGCCCACCATCCCGTGACGCCCCCTGCACCCCGCCAGCAGGGCGGCCCTGGGCTCCCTGCAGGGCCCCGTGCCTTGGCAGAGTCTTTCTCCTCCTACCTGTCCTGCTCCAACACCTCCTTCTCCGGGAAGCCCTCTTGATGGTTTCGGGCCTCCCAAGTCCTCTTTTTTCTGGAGCCCAGCCCTCCCATCACAGGTCTCACCCGAGAGCTCCACCCCACCGGAAAGAAACTTCACTGTTTAGGTTCTCCTCGGTCTCATAGGCACTTTCCATTCTCCTGCCTCCATCCTTCCAGTGCTGGGTTAAAGGGGTCACTCTACAGAGGTCATCACACTACAACGCCTCACTCCAAAGAAAGCATCTCTGACCTATGGAATCCATGTGTAAAGAAGGGTTCTACAGGCCAGAAGCCAGTGGCTAATGCCTAGCTACTCAGGAGATTGAGATACGAAGATCACAGTTCAAAGCCAGACCAGGCCAGAATGTCCATGAGACTCTTACCTCCCATGAACCACCAGAAAATCAGAAATGGTTGCTGTAGCTCAAAACGGTAGAGCACATGAGCAAAAAACCTCAGGGACAGTGTCAGGCCCTGAACTCAAGCCTGACTGACAAATAAGGGTCTCTATTAGGGTGTCCCGGGGCTCTGTCCTGTACACCCATCAGATGCGAAATTCAGAGAAAAGAGCACAAGCTAGGAGACCTGCTATAGTGGCCCAGGTAAGTCAGACTCTGAGGAAGGGAACTCAAGATAGCATCACAGGGTCTGGCCAGCCTCCCACTAAGCAAGACACCGACCCCCTCCCTCCCAGACCACCCCACTGAGATGGTGGGGGCCATGGGCCCAGGTCCTGGGCTTCTGGGGGGCTTCCTACCTCATCGCACAAGGACCGGTCCGACGGGTTTAGGAGGACCAGGGTCTCCAAAGTCTCTCCACGGTGGTGCAGGCTCCGCTGGCCTGTGGGTGACCGGGCCAAGCCACCGCTCAGGGTCACGCTGTCTTCTGTGTGACCCTTGGGTACCACACCCCCAGGAAACCCACCCAGGGGTCACTGGGCACCAGGTGTAGCGGGTGGGGGTGAGAACTGGAAACCCGAACGACCTGTAGGCCTCACTCAGAAGCGCCAGTAAGCAGAGGCTGGGCCTGATCTGCAGCAGGAGCCCTGAGGGGGCCACTGTCACCTCCATCCTACAGACAAGGAACCCGAGTCCGAGAAGGGCCGACGGCACTCAAGGGTGGACAGCCGGGAGGGCGTGTGCTAGCCGTGTGGGGCCGCCCGCCTGGGAAGGGCCTGTAGGGAAGCCTGGACTGGGGGGAAGGGGCCGAGGGTGTGGCCTGACCCCGGAGGTGCTGACACGAGGGCGTGGCCAGTGTGCGGTGGTGGGCGTTCAAGGGGAGGGCAACTACAGGGGCGTGGCCTGCGATGGGGTGTCCTCGCGGGGGCGGGGCTACGTGTGAGTGGCACAGTCCAGCCAGGTGGGGCGAGGCACAGGCTGGGGGCGGGGCGGAGCCCGGGGCTGGGGGGGGCGGAGTGCAGGCTGGGGGCGGGGCGGGGCGCAGGCTGGGGGCGGGGCGGGGCGCAGGCTGGGGGCGGGGCGGGGCGCAGGCTGGGGGCGGGGCGGAGCCCGGGGCTGGGGGGGGCGGAGCGCAGGCCCTGGGCGGGGCGCAGGCCCGGGGCGGGGCGGGGCGGGAAAGGCCGGCTAGCCAGCGCGGCGGCACCGGCCCGGCTGTCAGTGGGGAAACCGAGGGCGGGGCGGGCGGCCGCAGGTCACTCGGACCGGATTTCCAGGTCTTCCCTTCCCTCAGGAAGCCACAGCCCTGCTTCGACCAGAGACCCGACACTTCCTTCCCCGGGGCGGCAGTGACTCAGCCCGCTGTACCCGCGGGAGTGCGGCCTAGCCGCGCCGGGCCACCTCCGGCGGGGCCCTCCCCCCGCAACCCGCCTGCGGGGCCCGGCAGGCTTCCAGCCGCAGCCGCCCCGCCCGGCCCTTCCCCGGCTCGGCTCCTCCACACCGCGGGAGAAGAGCGCGGGCCCCGCCGGGCTGGCGCCCCGCACGGAGTGGGGCGCCGCGGGTGGGCCCGGCGCGGGGCGCACCTTTCACGAGGCTGGAGAAGGTGGCCGAGTGTCGGGACACGAAGACCTTGAGCTGCTCGTCCAGGCTGCAGACGCCGGGCTCCACGTCCCAGGAGCGAACACCTGGGCGGGAGAGGCCGCGGGGCTTCAGCCCGGTGCCCAGCGCGGGGCCCCGGGGGCCTGGAGACGCCGCGCCGGCCCGCCCCGCCGTGCCAAGGAGCAGGTGGGCCGGCAGGTGCCGTGACTCACGGGCTGCCAGGCCCCGGGGCGCCCAATTAGCGGCGGCGCGTGCGGCGGGGGCGGCCGGCGGCGGACTGCGCCTCCCCGCGGCCCCGGCCCCCGGCCCCGACCCCGGGCCCCGACCCCGGCCCGCCCCCCGCCCCCCGCCCCCGCGCCCGGCCCCGCGCCCCGACCCCGCGCTCTGCCCCCGACCCCGCGCCCGGCCCCGGCCCCGACCCCGGGCCCCGACCCCGGCCCGCCCCCCGCCCCCGCGCCCGGCCCCGCGCCCCGACCCCGCGCCCCGGCCCCCGACCCCCGACCCCGCGCCCGGCCCCCGACCCCGCGCCCGGCCCCGGCCCCGCGCCCGGCCCCCGACCCCGCGCCCGGCCCCGGCCCCGCGCCCGACCCCCGACCCCGCGCCCGGCCCCGGCCCCGCGCCCGACCCCCGACCCCGCGCCCGGCCCCCGACCCCGCGCCCGGCCCCCGACCCCGCGCCCGGCCCCCGACCCCGCGCCCGGCCCCCGGCCCCGCGCCCGGCCCCCGGCCCCCGACCCCGCGCCCGGCCCCGCGCCCGGCCCCCGACCCCGCGCCCGGCCCCGCGCCCGGCCCCCGGCCCCGGCCGACCTCGCTCCAGCTCCTCCAGCACGTAGGCCAGCGGCCCCCGGCCCCCGCACTCGCCGCCCACCACCAGCAGCAGCGAGCTCGGCGCCTCCGCCGCCGCCATCTTCGCGCCGCCCGGACGCCCGGCGCCACCCGCCGGCCCCGCCCCTTAAGGGGCCGCACCGGAAGCGCGGGGACCCTCCCGGAAGCCCCCTCCCTGCGGCCCTTCCCCCCCACGCCACTCCCCACCCATCTGTCCGCGCGTCCGTCCCTTCATCAATCCACCCCTGCATCACCCATGACCTGCGGGTTGGAACCGGGTTCCTGCCAGCCCAGGGACCCTTGGATGCTCCCAGCTTCCCCAGGCAGGGCAGCTTGGGCATTGAGGGATGTGTAGGAGTTTGCCAGGCATGAGGCGCCCCTTTCAGCCCTAAAGTTTTAAGGTCTTTTTCTGGTGGAGACGGGGTAGAGTGAGGACCTCCTGCACAGCAGGCCCCAACCCCTCCGGGCCGGGTGTGGGCACTCCGCACCTGCATGTGCCAGTGCAGCTCACGACCCCTTGAGCACTGTGGGGGCCATTTCACATGGGCTGGGGAGACCGGAAGGAGCCGTGGGTCTGGGCAATGTCCCCGCCCCGCCCCGGGCCGGGCAGGTGGGGATACGGAGACCTGTGCCTGCCCAGGCGGCCTCCCCTGGCTGGGGGAGGGGAGCATCTCCCCAGACCCCAAGAAGCGTCCAGAGTCGGGGCCTGTGCCCCTCCCCGCCCCGCCTCAGGTCACCAGAGCCCAGAGAGGACACGATGGGGCCCAGCCTGCCGCGCTCGTCTCCGACCTTCTCCCACTCAGTGCGGGTCTGTGGGCAAGCCCTGCCCTCCACCCCCCCACGCCCCGTTTTGTTTTCGTTGTTTGTCGATTGTGGGACTTGAACTCAGAGCCCAGGCCCTGTCCTGGACTCTTTTGCTGTAAGGCTAGTGCTCTACCACTTTGAGGCACTTTCCAGCTTTGAGTGGTTAATGGGAGAGGAGTCTCACCGGGACTTATCTGCCTGGGCTGGCTTCGAACTGCGATCCTCAGATGTCAGCCTCCTGAGTAGCTGGCATGACAGGCGTGAGCCACCGGCACTTGGTCCTTCTGTGTTCTTTTTTTTTTTTGTCGGTCGTGGGGCTTGAACTCTGGGCCTGGGCGCTGTCCCTCAGCTCTTCAGCTCAAGGCGAGCGCTCTACCACTTGAGCTACAGCGCCACTTCCGGTTTTCTGGTGGATCACTGGAGGTAGGAGTCTCATGGTCTCTCCTGCCCAGGCTGGCTTTGAACCGCGATCCTCAGATCTCAGCCTCCTGAGTAGCTGGCATGACAGGCGTGAGCCACCGGCGCCCGGCTCCTTCTGTGTGCTTGATATTGGACTGTTTTATCATTGTTGTCCATTATGTGTAGAACTGTGGTTTGAGCCCAGGGCCTCTGGTTTGTTGGATGTTCTACTGTGAACTATACCTCCAGCAGTTTTTGTTTTGTTCATTTTTTTTTTTTTCCTTCTGGTCATGGGTCTTTTTTTTTTTTTTTGTCAGTCATGGGGCTTGAACTCTGGGCCTGGGCGCTGTCCCTCAGCTCTTCAGCTCAAGGCTAGTGCTCTACCACTTGAGCTACAACGCCACTTCCGGTTTTCTAGTGGTTTATTGGAGGTAGGAATCTCACAGGCTTTCCTGCCCAGGCTGGCTTTGAACCACGATTCTCAGATCTCAGCCTCCTGAGTAGCTAGGATTACAGGGGTGAGCCACCAGCACCCTGCTTGGTCATGGGTCTTGAACTCTGGGCTTGAGTGTTGTCCCTGTGGTCTTCAGCTCAAGGCAAGCACTCTACCGCTTGAGCCACAGTGCTACTTCTGGTTCTCTGGTGGGTTTATTGGAGATAAGAGTCTCGCAGTTTCCTGCCTGGGCTGGCTTTGAGCCCCGGGCCTCAACCTCAGCCTCCTGAATAGCCAGGATGACAGGCGTGAGCCACCGGTGCCAGGCGGTTTGGTTCATTTTTTAAATAGCATTTTGTTTTTTACCCAGGCCAGACTAGACAGTGAGTCCCCCCAAGCCTTCTTTCTGTGAGCTGGGATCTTTGGAACACTTTTACCCAGGCCAGCCCAGAACTTCAGTGCTCCAAATGTCCATCTGTCAAGTCGCTGACAGCAATGAGCCACCATGTGCATCTTGTTTGTTTTTGACCAGGGAGGATTTCACAAAGGAACTCAGGCTGGCCTCAAAGTCTCCTCCTCCAGCTACAGCTTCCACAGTGGTGAAATCATAGGTGTGCACACTCAACAGCATACAATTCTTGGGGCTTGTAATGGTGCTCTGGCAGATAGATTTACCAGATAGCTCTCTGCGTGCACAGATGCCTGGCGATCTGGCCAGGGTCTTGCCGGGAGGGCAGATGTAATGCCAGGCCTCTTGCCAAATGTGTGGAATTTATTCCTGAATAAAGTCAACATCCTAGGGCCAGATGTGTGGCACCCAGCAATGCAAGGCCTTGGGTTCCATCCCCAGCACCAAAATACATACAACATACATACGTACATACACTGTACGCACACATGCCAGTCAGCTCCTGAATGTAACTACCCATCTGCCTATTTGTACTATTCCGTGTCCTTCTTGCATCTTCGAAGCAGACTGAGTAGCTAGCACTACAGATGGAAGCCCCTGGTGCCCGGCCTCGCGTGTTCTTTCGTTTGTGTTTTTTTTTTTTTTTTTTGGGTCCGGTTGTGGGGCCTGAACTCTGGGCCTGGGCGCTATCCCTCAGCTCTTCAGCTCAAGGCTAGCACTCTACCACTTGAACCACAGTGCCACTTCCAGCTTTTTTCTTTTTGCTTATGTGGTGCTGAGGAATTGAACCCAGGGCCTCAGGCATGCAAGGCAAGCACTCTGCCACGGAGCCACCTTCCCAGCCCCTCGTTTGTGTTGTTTTAGAGGTTTGAAGAAGACAGTGGAGAGGCCAGATTAGGGTCCCTTGTGGGCTCCAGGGTTCAGATCCAAGCTCACAGGCTGTGCGGCTTTATTTTGTGTATTTTGGAGAGAGTCTGGTCTGGCCTCCATCTGTGATCCTCCCACTTCAGCCTCCCCCGTGCTGGGATTGCAGCTGTTACTCAATGATTTTGCTGTTCTGCTCTCTTTCAATGCTGGCCCTACCCTGTTCTGCCCTGGCCCGGCCCGGGCCTAACCCAGGGCCGCGCAGGGGCGGCTGCGGCTCCCCGCGGGCCAGGCTGGGACCTGGAGCCCGGAGCTCCGCCCCTCGCCTCTACGGACCTATCCTGTTCCACCTCTTCCTCTTTTCTCCCATTTTCACCATTCTGGCCAATCAGATTACTCCTTTCCATTAGAGGCCAATCCGATGCCTTGGCTTGCTCGCGCTAGCTGCGGGGCGGGGCGGGGATTCGCCAGGGGCGCTGAGAGGGTTTGCTGCGGGCTCCGTCAGCGCCCCGCGCCCCCGCCCACCGCTCCCGCGCCCCGCGCGCCGCCCCCACCCCCGCGCCGCCTTTCCCTCGGGGCGGGGGGAACCCCGCACCCCATCCCAGGGCCCCGGGAAGGAGCAGCCCCGGCCCGCGGTGCGCAATGCTGAGCGTCTGGAGACGACTGTGGCGCGGGACCCCGAGACCGCCCCTCCCCCGCCGGGACCGCCCCTCCCCCGCGGGACCCCGAGACCGCCCCTCCCCCGCCGGGACCGCCCCTCCCCCGCGGGACCCCGGGACCGCCCCTCCCCCGCGGGACGCCCCTCCCCCGCGGGACCGCCCCTCCCCCGCCGGGACCGCCCCTCCCCCGCGGGACCGCCCCTCCCCCGCGGGACCGCCCCTCCCCCGCCGGGACCGCCCCTCCCCCGCGGGACCCCGGGACCGCCCCTCCCCCGCGGGACCCCGGGACCGCCCCTCCCCCGCGGGACCGCCCCTCCCCCGCCGGGACCGCCCCTCCCCTGCCGGGACCGCCCCTCCCCCGCGGGACCGCCCCTCCCCCGCCGGGACCCCGGGACCGCCCCTCCCCCGCGGGACCCCGGGACCGCCCCTCCCCCGCGGGACCCCGGGACCCCCGGGACCGCCCCTCCCCCGCGGGACCCCGTGACCCCCGGGACCGCCCCTCCCCCGCGGGACCCCGGGACCGCCCCTCCCCCGCGGGACCGCCCCTCCCCCGCCGGGACCGCCCCTCCCCCGCCGGGACCGCCCCTCCCCCGCGGGACGGCCCCTCCCCCGCGGGACCCCGGGACCGCCCCTCCCCCGCGGGACCGCCCCTCCCCTGCCGGGACCGCCCCTCCCCCGCCGGGACCGCCCCTCCCCTGCCGGGACCGCCCCTCCCCCGCCGGGACCGCCCCTCCCCTGCCGGGACCGCCCCTCCCCCGCCGGGACCGCGGGACCCCGGGACCGCCCCTCCCCCGCGGGACCGCCCCTCCCCCGCGGGACCGCCCCTCCCCCGCCGCGGGTCGGTTGGCTGGTCGTCCTTGTTGAAACGATGACAACCCAGCGCCACCTCCCCAGGAAACGGCGCTAAAGGACACAGCCTGCCAGCGGCCACTTTCTGACTTTTCTTTGTTTTTATCTTTTGGTCGGTGGTGGGTCTCGAACCCTAGGCCTGGGCGCGGGCGCTCCACCGCTCGAGCCACTGCGCCACTTCCGGCTTTCTGGTGGTTTATTGGGTTTGAGTCTCGGGGACTCTCCTGCCCGGGCTGGCTTTGAACCGCGATCCTCAGATCTCAGCCTCCTGAGTAGCTGGGATGACATGACAGGCGGGAGCCACGGCGCCCGGCTTTTCTGTTTGGTGGTTTGGGACCTGGGCCAACCCCAGGTACAGGGCTCCCCCCCTGCGCTCGCCCTCCCCCGTGCTCCCCTCCCCGTGCTCCTCCCCCTGTTCTTCCCCCCTCCACCCCCCCCCCCGCACTCCCCCTCCCCCGTGCTCCCCCCGCCCTCGCCCTCCCCCGTGCTCCTCCCCCTGTTCTCCCCCCTCCCCCCTGCGCTCCCCCTCCCCCGTGCTCCTCCCCCTGTTCTCCCCCCTCCCCCCTGCGCTCCCCCTCCCTCGTGCTCCCCCCTGCCCTCGCCCTCCCCCGTGCTCCTCCCCCTGTTCTTCCCCCCCCCCCCGCCCTCGCCCTCCCCCGTGCTCCTCCCCCTGTTCTCCCCCC